TGTTCCTGCATATAACCAGATATCGTCTTGTTTATTTCAACGTATGGTATGTCCTGTACTGTCATTGTAAACCCTGGCACGCGCCCAGGTCCAGCTGAGCTGATCGATGTGGTTGGCGTAGGCCTAACCAATGCACGGTCTCGCTTTCTGTGCGGTTTCGCGGTGATCGGTGAAATGTAGCGAAACGCTGTGTATTATATGTAATCTGGCGCAACTCACAATAAATATATATTCAGGCAAGGAAATTATTCGTCTCCTTCTCTAGAGCTGCGTATGTCTGTACCTGTAAGGCGCGAGAGCGAGATGAATGTTGCTCGTCACAACTTAGGCCGCGTACTGGCACCGGTGGCTAAGAAAAACTGTCGTTTCTCCGTTCTCGGCAGCAAGTTTTGTGTACATGAACTTTATTTGATAAAAAAGAAACACAACACAGGGGTGTCCAACACAACTTCATTGTTCGGAAACAAACACTAAATCGGAAAGCCTGCATTAACCAGGAGTTTCAGATTGTTTCCCGTGTTCCAATAGAAATACCTCAGTGGGCACTCGTTGGAGATAATCGAATTGAACATACTCACTTATGTGGTGTGTGCCACTGCGATAGTAATTATGGGCACGAAATGTGTCTGTACCGAACAGCATGTACGGCATCGATCTCTTGCGGCGATGGAAACATGCGCATGTGTTTCCACGTGCGTGCACCAACATGCCTATTTTGGTCGTGATCCGGAAACGAAACCAATTTTTCCGCGATGTCTGGCTAGGCTACCGTTCTCGATAAACATCCAAAATAATATTAACAAAGCGGAACATATTATTTATTACTCTAATATTATGTTACAATATTATTTCGTGCACTTTGTAGAATTTATTTAATTTAATATCACGAAAAGTTGAAACACACATCAACGTGATTTGGCAACCATGGCAACGCTCCGAATCTTTCCGAACTTTTCCGAAACGCTTAAGATTCGGCTACTTTTCCGAATCTTTCCGAATCTTCAGATTCGTCTCCGAATCTCGATTCGGATAAAGATTCGTCCCATCACTACTTGCGACCGAGTACGACTGAGAGAGACGAGATCTCTTACAACTTCTTAAATGTTTCTAGAATGAGGGAACTCACCTACCTCGTTGGAACTCACTGACATTGTGGCGCCATCTATGCGGTGACCCTAGAACTGCATTTCACAAAAGCGAAGGTTTTGCGGGATTTCCGAGGTCAAATGTGCGTAATACCCATAGAAAGGCTCGTTTATAACATTGACAAAAGTTTTTCGAGCCAAAAAAGAAAGGATATTGCGCGAGAAATAAAAAAAAATTGCCGGACCGCCGAGTTTACACTGCTTCCCAATAGATGGCGCCAGTGTGTTCTCTGGCTTGAGACTAAACCGACTAAACTGACTAAACGACTGAACCGAGGTACCCGTTCCCGTGCGCTGTAGAATGCCGCACGCCGCCTTTAGGAACAACGGCGAAATTGTTTGAATATGCGGACAAACCTTATGAGAGTTTGGATTGGTCGAGCGGTTTCGAGCTTGGGTTTCGAGAGTATGACTGAACCTATCTGCTTCTTGTTTCGTTTTTCGAGTACAAATTGTTAACAACTAACTTAACTAATATAAGAATTATTTTATACAATGTTTATTACGTTATGATTAATTTACTTAGCTCCGATCATTGCATTAATTTTAAAATAAAACTGGTGAGGCTGCTGAGCATAGAGTTATTACAATAAACGCTAGAGGCTCAGCTGGCGCTAGTGTCTATGGGACTTCCGGTTACAAATTGAAGCAGACAGCATGCCCAGCATGCAGTCTACTTTTTCAGTCTTCCTGTGTATTCGCGCGTGAATTTTGTCTCGTCGCCGGAAAATAACATTAATAACTTTTGTTATTTCGGTTGTACCGGGTAGTATGTACCTTTATTAATATTGTTAAAGAGTAATTGCTTTAGTTACAGCATTTTTTCCTTTACCACTGAACGATGCTAAGCTTCGCTATATTTCAGGCCCAAACCTCTGTTCCATGGCAGGTATGTAGAAACGAGCGACGATTCTAAGCAAAATAACGATCGAAAGGAATGTAGAGTGGGTTCAAAGTTCGCCAGCATTCCGCTGGTGCTTATCTCTACGAGCGGTTAAAAAAAACGTTCGAAACGTAAATAATAAAGTACGTGGGCTACGAAAGTACGTGTGTTTTCTTATTATTTCCTATGTTGGGCAGTTTTTATCGCGCACCTGTCCTCTGGCTTCTCCCTATTTGCAACGATTTGGAGCGAGCCGATGATGATTTGAACACAGAACAAGCATCTTCGCACATATTCATGAGCAGAAAGGATAAAGCAGTACTTATTTATTGCAAGTCGGACTATATTACGTGACTTTCAACTTATTTTGATCGTCTGCAAGCACAAGGAGTTACTTACCCAGTGTTACTGCGTAGTTCTTGCCGTCTCTCTTGGTGTTCCACATGTCGTTTGGAAAGCGTCGACGCCGTGTTCGCGCTAACAGTGTCCGACAGTCCACATAAATACACGTACGAAGCGGTTTTAACACCGTTTTTAATGCCGCGAATTTCAAATAAAAATGCTGTAACTGACCAATTATTTCGTCTGCGTGACTGAGAAATGTTCCAATGTGCCTAGTGTGTACAAATTATTCGTGATATTTACTCTTATGATCTCTATGGAGCAATAACCTCCTTGCTATGGAGTTATTACAATAAACGCTAGAGGCTCAGCTGGCGCTAGTGTGCTGTTGCAAATTGAAGCAGACAGCATGCAGTCTGAAATTGACTTCCGGTAATGCATTTCTATGGGAAAAAGCGAGTGCATTTTCTCTCTGCGCTCGAAGAGTAAATGGGCGCGTTAAGTTAGTGAGCTCCAGACACCGGACATCTGCGCTCGAGCGCGCGGGTTCGGAGCGTAGCTTAACGGCGCACTTTGGTACCGAGGCGCCATCTGACGCCTGCTTTTTTAACGTTTCCGGTTCCGGCTTTCCGGCGCGCGCTTGTACATGGCTCCCGTCCCGTCGAAACATCTAAAAAGTGTTTGGTCGACGACGACTTCGATGAAATAAGTGCGCGGAGACGGCGGCAACAGCGAGAGCTTGTATTTATGCTGCACGCTGTTGGTGCGACGATTAAAGGTACGCCGAACGCCTTCTGAATTCCCAAAAGCCTTAAAGAATGACGGCTTAATGGCCGAATTTATTGGCTCGCTTGATTCTGAAATTGCGGTAAGGTACATGAAGAACTTCGACAAGCATTTGAAGGATGTATGCATACCTTTCTACATTAGCACCATGCTTTTTTTATTTTCCACGATGACGGAACGACTACACGAGCTGCCAAGCGATCGCCGTCGAAGTATCCACGCATCCAAACAGGCGCGACTTGCGCGTCCGACGAAGTCCCTGAAGACTTCGGCGCAAGTACGAACGACGCCGAGAGCTCCGAGCACTGCATCGTAGCGCAGAACGAGCAGCTCCTACCCACGATCGGCCTACCTCGGTGCCGTTCCTGGCTAGGCCGGAGCCTTTCGGCCGCGGGCTTCGGTTGGTGCGGTCGCGGTCGGCGAAGTTTGGCGAGGCGGGCGCGGTGGCATCCTCGGAGCGTTCGGAAGCGAACTCGCTCGCCAGGGATTGCGCACACCCGACGCCTCTGGTCCAGAGTGGCCCGGCGGCGCGGTCCGAAGTGTCCGGAGCCCAAAACGCTTGGGTTTTGATGATTCTTCCGTCTCGTGCGAAACCACCGCACCACCGTGTGAAACCGGTGAAGCCAGTGAAGCTACGACCACCGTGCAAAACCACCGCGAGTAACCGCGAGACTGGCCGCGAGAGCGAAAGCGCCGTCATCTCACCGGAAACCAATCTGTTCGAGCTCTCGCGCACCATCTCCGACGATGGAGCTCGCGGAGCGCGCTCCGCCACCGTGCACCGGAAGTGAGACGTTGTCGTTTAGTTTAGCTCGAGTGCACTCTGACCGCCGGAGCGCGCTCGAGCGCGTTAACTTAACGCGCCCAATATCACGAATAATTTGTACACACTAGGCACATTGGAACATTTCTCAGTCACGCAGACGAAATAATTGGTCAGTTACAGCATTTTTATTTGAAATTCGCGGCATTAAAAACGGTGTTAAAACCGCTTCGTACGTGTATTTATGTGGACTGTCGGACACTGTTAGCGCGAACACGGCGTCGACGCTTTCCAAACGACATGTGGAACACCAAGAGAGACGGCAAGAACTACGCAGTAACACTGGGTAAGTAACTCCTTGTGCTTGCAGACGATCAAAATAAGTTGAAAGTCACGTAATATAGTCCGATTTGCAATAAATAAGTACTGCTTTATCCTTTCTGCTCATGAATATGTGCGAAGATGCTTGTTCTGTGTTCAAATCATCATCGGCTCGCTCCAAATCATTGCAAATAGGGAGAAGCCAGAGGACAGGTGCGCGATAAAAACTGCCCAACATAGGAAATAATAAGAAAACACACGTACTTTCGTAGCCCACGTACTTTATTATTTACGTTTCGAACGTTTTTTTTAACCGCTCGTAGAGATACGCACCAGCGGAATGCTGGCGAACTTTGAACCCACTCTACATTCCTTTCGATCGTTATTTTGCTTAGAATCGTCGCTCGTTTCTACATACCTGCCATGGAACAGAGGTTTGGGCCTGAAATATAGCGAAGTTTAGCATCGTTCAGTGGTAAAGGAAAAAATGCTGTAACTAAAGCAATTACTCTTTAACAATATTAATACAGGTACATACTACCCGGTACAACCGAAATAACAAAAGTTATTAATGTTATTTTCCGGCGACGAGACAAAATTCACGCGCGAATACACAGGAAGACTGAAAAAGTAGACTGCATGCTGGGCATGCTGTCTGCTTCAATTTGTAACCGGAAGTCCCATAGACACTAGCGCCAGCTGAGCCTCTAGCGTTTATTGTAATAACTCTATGCTCAGCAGCCTCACCAGTTTTATTTTAAAATTAATGCAATGATCGGAGCTAAGTAAATTAATCATAACGTAATAAACATTGTATAAAATAATTCTTATATTAGTTAAGTTATTTGTTAACAATTTGTACTCGAAAAACAAAACAAGAAGCAGATAGGTTCAGTCATACTCTCGAAACCCAAGCTCGAAACCGCTCGACCAATCCAAACTCTCATAAGGTTTGTCCGCATATTCTAAAGGCGGCGTGCGGCATTCTACAGTGCACGGGAACGGGTACCTCGGTTCAGTCGTTTAGTCAGTTTAGTCGGTTTAGTCTCAGTCGTGCCGTGTGCCTTGTACGCCGTGCCGTGTCCTTGTACGCCGTGCCGTGTCCCTGTACGCCGTGGTCACTTCCCTCCACTGCGTCCTCAGCAGGATGAGTGCCTGTAAGTATTGCGGCTTCAAATGCCCCGAGATATGCCATCATTTTTCTTCGAGACTCACGCCCCTTGCTTTCCTGGTTTTGACTTTTAGCATTTTCCCAAGCGTCTCATACGTTCGCGCGAGAAAAGTTGACGAAACTTCGTTTCAAACCTCGTCCTGGAACTGCTACAAAATGACTGCGCTTGTATTTGCCGGGCGCAACTCACCCTGTCGTGTTTCAACTTGTAGCTGGGAGCTCGAGCGGTCCGCTGGGGACTACTCCAAGCACCCAGAGCAAAGTAAGTACTGTAATTTTTTTTTTTTTTTTTCCTGCGCTTAATAGTTGCTTTTTAAGTTGCTTTGTAATCTTGTTGACGTTCCCTTGAGCTACTACGTTCTGTGATTGTTGGTGGGCGGTCACCTGCGGTTATGGAATTGTAGTCTGTTTTTCGGCTGGTAGTAGCAGCAAGTACTGTACACCTAATAGCGAAGGCTCCCTCCTTGTAACTTCGGTTGGTTTTCAGAGCTTGTAGGTGTTGGCTGACACCGGAGCCATGTTGCAGTCGTGTGCGTGCAGAGAGACCTTACCTGTAATAAAATGATGCTGCAAACAACTTCACGGAAGCGCAGCAGCGAAGTGTGTGGTGTATGTAGTACCTCAGAATGAGTAGTGTCCAAGGCCAAACGCGGCCTCCGAAAAGCTTGGACGCCGAAAGGCGCTTGAAAACGAGCGACTGAAAACTTCGTATTAGGATGCTTTGCCAACTCTGAAGCCACTTGACTTTAATATTTGCCGCCATTTACTTGTACTTTGAAAGTACATTGTATTTACAGTAGTTTCCTTCAAGTGCTTTGGACCCGGTGTACTTGCTACTTTACTTCAAGTACATAACCTCTAATTTGTCTTGTACTTTACTTCGAGTACTTTTTAGAAGTACATTACCCAACACTGACATTTGTGCTGATGCAAGGATCAGCTGTTTTATGCTTATGCTAGGATGGCTATACTATACATGCCTCTCACGTGACGCCTTGTGGCATCGAACCAGCCGCCATGTGTCCATACCGTGCTCCTGTGCCCATACCTTCTGTAGCAAATATTTGGCATGAAATGTGTTCTTCTCGGCAAGCCTTGACGGGAAGAAAAATATTAACAGTGTGAAATGTGTGCTGCAGAAGGTACGTGCACAGGAACATGTTATGAGGCAATGGTGGCTGATGTGACATCATTGCAAGCTGTGTATTGAAATTAACTTCCAGCATCCTTGTTCCCCCTGCCTGTTTCAGCCCCTCTCTGGAGCAGTCCCGAAAAGGACTTTGAGGGCACCAACCCCCACCAATCGTCTGGGCAATCCTACCCTGAAGCGTTCGGAAAGCCTCAAGGAGAACCTGGTAAGACGGTGCCGTTTGTTGCAAAAATGTTAGAGGGCAGTCTAGTCATCTTGGATCAACTTGCTCTCTGGGTTCTGCCTTCACTAAACATCGGCCCTGCTCAAAAAGTGTCTAGTTGCTTAAAATGCCAATTAAAGCGAATGGCTGATTTGATCATTTTGAGAAGGACTGTTAGAAACAATCCAGTCTCCATTATATGCCACTCGTATAGGTGTCGGTGGAATGTGAGCTGTCTTGATGGCTCCTAGGCCAGGTGCCAGCCTATGAATAAGCTGGTGGCGGGTTCCACAATCTGATGGAGGCCTGTTGTGGAGAAGGCACCGTGTAACTGGGATTTCACCTTTCACGAATAATCAAGAGCCCCAGATGGTTGTAGTTAATTCTCGGTACTCCACTTGGGCATGTCAAATGCCCTTCGTTGGTTTGCCGTGTAAAGCCACCAAATTCAACTTTAAAACGGTGTGTTCTATCAGCCAGTTTTCACGGTGATCTGTAACGTTTGGCGGTTACAAAAAACCGAAAGCGTTATGTTCATAGGGAACCATATAAAGACTTCAGCCCCCCGGCAGGATTTCAACTTTCCACATTGATTGTGAGCCAAGTGCTTTACCGACTGAGCTAGTGAGGGACAGCGTTTGCTCTCAACACGAAGAGAGGACTTTTCGTGCAACATTCGAAGTCTGTGCTCCTCGCGGCCTTGAAGGTGCGTGGGCAGTGTTATGCTGCACCATCTCATGGTGTTTGTCAGAAATGGGAGCGGATCTTCAATACAACACCTGCTTTGTAGCAAGGCAGTGCCATTCAGACGCCTCTCTTCCATCATGGCCAGGGCTGTGAAGCCATGGTGGAAGAAAAGAGGTGAGCTTGCCGAGAATGTAAGAAGTGGCAGAAGCAGCAGAAAGAGCCTTTACAAGGAGCCCCACCCCGCAGACTATCGCCAATAATTGTAAGGCCATCACACATTCTGTGCTTACAAATTTTTGTCAACATAATCAAACATGCATTTTTTTTTTTAATGTTTGCTGGAAGGGGCTTACTTTTATCTTCATCACCACTCTACAATGTTTTTCAAGGTTTGGAATAATCTGGGACAAGCTTCTTCCACAAAGCCCTCTACTCATTCCACTTTAGCAGAGCAAGTTCTGGGTAGGAGAAAACCACCAATGATGGCGCACAGCGAGCTTTGTGGGAAGGGCTCGTCGTGCTGTTTTAAATCTGTAACACACAACTGTAGCATTCTCAACTGTAGCAGAGTGATGCCAGGAAAGATGGGCGAATATATAACATATTTCCTTTTAGGACCACCACCCAAAACGACAGAGGGCTGCTGCTCCCACCTCAGCCGCCACTGCGGCAAAACAAATCGTGGATCTCACGAAGCGCCGCCGGCGATCAAGGTCAACCTGCGACGTCGGCAGAGCACCATTGACATCGGCAGCATCCAGGAACGGTCGGTGCACATCTTTGCTGCTGTAACCATTGAAGTGTGGGCTAAGTCACGCTTGCACCTGTGATACTTGAAGATCACTAACCATTTCTGATCGGCTTGGCATATGTTGAGAGTCTCGTTCGCAGAAATTAAGTGTATCCTTGCGTTTAAGCGCTCTCTAGTGCAGTAGCACCAGGGGTAGTTGCAGCAGGCATTCCATTGCGATAACCTTTTGTTTTTCTGAGCTGGCATGCTGACTGCAATAAAGTACAAATGTCATTGGAGGATAATGCATGTCTACGTCTAACAGACTAATAAATATCCACTCTGTAAACAGGAAAAATGCTATGTGTGTAAGGATATCTGGAATGCAACATTTCCATGCAGCAAATTGTTTTGCTTGCAAAGAATCCTGCTTCCTTCTCAAATGAAAAATGGTCAGTTACCTTTCATGCTAGTACATACCTAATCATGACCAACATTGCACCCTGAATTCGCTGGAAATGCAGGACCTGCTGTAACAGCTGTAACTTGGGATTAATCGCCTTCTGTGCTTGCGAACTTGGGGACCGAAGATGAGCCACAACGTGCACAAAGGGATATTGGGGGCTCTTTCTAAATCACTGCAGCACAATGGAGTTGGCAGGATCTAGCTTCTTTGATAGAGGGAGTGCCGATGCTTGCATCTTCACACGGAAACCGCCTAAACCAGCCATCTTTTAAATTGGTTGATTGCTGAAAGCTGTGAACAGTGTCTTGAGCTGCAAGACATTGAACAGCAACCCTTGTTGCTTTTTTTCAGCCCTCAAGTCCAGTGGTTCCACCTCCACCCTTGGTTCCTTGGCCTCCAAGCACAAAGGGTCTACCATGTCCGTGGCCCCCTCTGCCCCTAAGAGCAAGGGCTCCGGCAGCTCTGCTGCCCTGGCACCATCTGCAGCGGGCAAACGCAAGCCGTGGGACCTGCAGGGGAGGGTCAAGGACCTGGAGGAGCTGGTAAGCTCCCTGGCCGGGGACAAGGAGCTGCAGATCCTCCACAAGGAGAAGGAACAGCAGGTTGGTAGCACCTTGCTGACGTTCCGTTACACTGGACTAGTCCAGTTTGTACTCAAGCTTTTCTATCTTCGGGAACCCATACCTGCAAAGAGTGTGGAAGCCTACGGACTATATAAACAATCATGCACCTACTATGTTTCGTTTACCCTTGAGCCTTGACTGCAGCCAAGGCTCAAGCGCAAGATCTCGGCTTTCAGACATTCTTCCACAGGATGAGCGCTTGTGCTAGAAAGGCATTCCTGAAAGCAAGTGGCATGGATGCTAGCTCACACATGATGCTTGGCTGCAATCTCTGCTGAAAGGGCCACTGAAAAGAAAATAAATTTTTTAAACAGTCTGGTTGGGAGGGAGACTCAAATCAAAAAATAGATTTTACGCAAAAAATTTTTACAGCAATATTGACGGCGCGGGATTTAGGTTCATGACGTCTCAGAATGGTCATACTCTTTCCACCTGAATTCTCCACCTCAACGTGACGGTCAAGCCGATCCACCCCTACTCCACACGCTCGAAATGCCAAGAGAGAAAACAAGTGGAGAGGAGGAGACTACCAACTCAATCACACCTTGCGTCGTCAACATTACTCTGAAAAAACGTTTTCACATAAAATTTATTTTTTGACACGCGTGTCCCAACTAGGCTGTTTAAAAAAAAAAATTTTCTTTTCAGTGGCCCTTTAAACGGACACTGCAGGGTATTTAAGGGAGGGCAGTACCCAAAAGAGTGAACTTCAGAAGCTTCGGCTTATAATGAGTGAAATTTACAGTGCATACTGGGTTGCGAAGCAGAATGCAGTGCAAAGTTTCATCTGTGTACAAGAATTGTGATAAAAATTAGTGGTTTCAATTGGGAACACAGATATTGTTTAGGAAAGCTATTTTTAGAAAACTTGGATAATAACAAACTTTTTTCTTTACTAGATATGCAGCGGAATGCCTAAAGAGGGCAGCTGTAAAAAGTTTCCAAAATGTAAATTATTTTATGCTAACATCGTGCTGAAAAATCAAATCAATTTCTTGCCTTTTATCTCGTTGACAAAATCTTAAACATAATTTATAAAAGACATCAACAAAGTAAGAAAACAATGCCACAGCGGTATTGCCGATTAAATTCCACTTAAGAAAAACAATGAGTGAGCCTTTCCTTTTGTCCCGTTACTAAACGATAGTTTTCCTAAACTGAAATTCATGCCAAAAAGTGGAGCGGAGAAAAACATGTTCAAGGCGCTCTAACCTCTACCTTTTCTTTAGCGTCAATGGACAAAAAATAATTTATAAAAAATAACCATGCTGTGTAAACAAGTGAAACTTTTTTTGAATACTCTCTAGGATGTAGATGGATGTCAATATGGCATTCTTTAAAATCAACTTTTTTGCAGAAATCCTTTTTTCTCTGTAGTGTCTTCCCTTAAAAGACACGTGCAAAGGAAAAAAACATTTTTTTTAAACAGCTTAGATGGAAAAAGGATATCATAAAACAATTTTACAACAAAGAAAAATATTTTTAGAGCTATATATACGGCGCTACAGTCAAACGCCGCTACAACGACCGCTTCTACTACGAAATAGCCCGTACAATGGGCTATTTCGTTGCTTATCTGCTTTATTGGGGTCATTAAAGTGTGCGACGGGTATAACGAAGTGGCGTGTATAATGAAGAATTATCGCTGTCCCACACGCTTCGTTACACAGGCGTTTGATTGTATACGAATTTGTAGTTGGCGCCGGCAGGCGCCGCGGAAAAGTGGCCCTTATTTATCACGTGTCGGGCCCATGTTTGTCACGTGGTGCTTGCGCTCTTTCAGAAGCTTCCTATGGCCTTTAAAAGTAACTTATTCATCTTTGTTTGAAATATAACAAAAAAGACTAAGATGAATAAGTAACTTTTAGAGCCCAAAGGAAACTCCTGAAAAAGCACAAGCAGACGTGACGCTGGTCAGATGACGGCGGCAGCGCCCCGAAGCAGACGAACTTGTGCGACGGTGGCGTGGAGAAATGCATTGAAGTGGCGTCATACAATGCTTGGCGTGCGGCGGCGCACAGGCCTACCACGTGACCAGCGACGGCTCCTGCGGGCGCCAACTACAAATTTGTATAACACCGTAAATATATCTCTAAAAATTTTTTTCTTTGTTGTAAAATTGTTTTATGATATTCCTTTCCCATCTAAGTTGTTTAAAAAAAAATCATTTTTTTTCTTTGCATGTGTCCTTTAAGCTCGCCAAGATATTTATTTGTACACGACATGACCCAAACTGCCCAGAACACAATTTGTGGCTACAAGTTCATTTTCTTTCTGCCCGAGAACCGTCAATAGAGAACCGGCCGGTTTGAGTCGGTGCTCGCTTTCTTCTCCGTGGTCACGTGCTGTTCCCTGTGGTTTAGACACAACCTCCAAACATAATCAAAGCCGTGGGTCATCGAAGGCACACTCAGTGCTAAAAAATAGACAGAAAATATGATATCCATTTTTTGTGGCTTCTAAAATGCTGCAAATACGTTAATTAAAAAAAATATTGCACAGCCAAGTGACTTCTGGTTACTTTCTCCTCTATTTCTTCTTCCACCCTAGTCCAGTTTCGGTTTCGAGCAGTTTTTTTTACTTTATTAAAAATATGCGACGCTGTAGCAAAATTTTGATTGGGTAGTCTTCTGTCACCATAAAAAATCACCTGGCAAAAAATTTAAAAAATATTGTTTGGGAGTGTTAGTAACCCTGGGCAAATGCAGTATAGGTAGTGTTTTTGTCACATAGTTGAGCCTGCAGTTGACTCCAGTTTGCTGAAGTTGTGCTGCGGAAAAGGTGCCGTGTAACAGAGCTTTCGGATGCACGTCAATGGATCCCCAGGTGGTCGAGATTAATCCTCAGCCAGATGCCCGTTGTCGGTTTGGCACGTAAAACCCCCAAATTTGGCTTTTGCTGAAGTTGTACTTTAACTTGCAAAACCTTTTGAGGTTCTGAGCACTTGGGTATACCTTTCAGTGCATTCTATACCTTTTTCTTTAGTAATTGATCCCTTCAAATCAGGAATGATGTCAACTGGATAAATCAGGCTCGTTGTTAAAGCAATATTCGCCTAGTATGACAACACTTAATTTGTTGCATGACTTTTAGTGGTGCATTCTTTTGCTGTCATCTCTTAGTATTTTTCATTGGGAGGAATTTTCTTTTTTGCTTTGTTCCCGTAAAGGCTAAAGCTCCAAACTTGCCTAAATCTAGAATGCGTTATGGCAGCATTTTCACTGGACATCTAACCTTTAGCCATTATTACTCAGCTTGAGCAACGCCTTTCTTTATTGACCCGATGGATGAGTTTTTTCCGGAAGATTAAAGGGCTCATCTTTCAGTACTTGCTCTTGTACACCTTGCTTGTCTGTATTTCTTTGCCCATTAAAACGAAACTTTTACATCAATTTTCTGTGTGCTGTTTTGCAAGTATTGTCTTCATTCTGACTTCAGGTGGAGGTGCTGATAAAGGACAACTCGGAGCTGCAAGTGCAGCTAGAGCATGTCAAGAGGCTGACACTGGAGAATGACTCTCTGAAGGAACAGCTCAGGTAAGAATTAGAAAGTGCACTTGGGAAGACTCCAGTTCCTGTCATATTTGTTTTTATGCTGCCACAATGTCGGCGAAGTTAGTTTCATTTAGTCAAACCGCAGCAATTTGTCGCCGTTTTTATTGAGAGGGATGAAGTCCAAGCAAACTTTACAATAAAAAAATACTCATCTTCTCAGATACTCTACACAATGCACTTTGTTGCCTGAAGCAGTGATGTGATTGCAGCGCCAATTGCGGCAAACTGCGCCAAGGGGCTAACCCTGCTACATCCTGCTACATTTTGCCAAAATATGGGTAATCTGCGCCAAGCCTGCGCCAAGCCTGCGCCAAGCCTGCGCCAAAGGACCTAATTTGGTCACCTTTCAAAAGTGAAACTAAACAATACCGTAATTGAGCATGCGTGAGCTAGGTGGCGCAAGCGGCCGCCCGACACCAAGTACCCTGCATCAATGGTTCATCCAATCTTTCATGTTTCTTCCCGCCGTCTCTCGTTTCGCGCTCTCGTCTCGCGTATTTTAAAACTTTTTCAACGATAGACGTGGGCGTGTACGGACGCCCAGACGGTACCGCGCCAAGCACCAGGCCAGCCATTCCGTCATGCTGTGAAACAAAACCACGTTTTTTTTTTTTTGTTTTTTTTTTGCGCTGCGCGGGAGTTACTTAGTGAGCTGAAGCACTCGCTCCTGAAAGCAATGACCGTGGTCGCGCGACGTCGGGTGTTGTTGTCCCCCACGTCGCTGCAGATATGGTGCTTTTTAAACTGAAATGTAAGGACTGCCGCATGTTCATCAACATTCCCGTTCTTGTTTAAATCGTACGCTACTACAAAAATCCCTCTTTAACTCAAAGAGTGCTGTGTCGAAGTATTGATTACCTAGGTTTCCCTAGGTAAGCTTTTTTTTTTCTTTTTGAGAGTGACTTTGGTACGTTAAAAATCTTCTGCTAAAGAAAGTTGGTGAAGAGTGGTGAGCTAAAGCAAAGAAGATCGTGTCTGCACGCGGAACCCGCGCTTGTTTGTCTCGAGTTCAGTCGTTGCACAATGGCTACGTTTACATGAATGCGATCGTAGCGCATCGAATCGAGCAGGGACCAATGACACGCAGCCTGTGTTCTTACTTCTTCCTCTTCTACTCAACTGCTACCAATCAAAATCGTGAAATCTCGACTCGATGCGCTACGGTCACATCCATGTAAATGCTGCCAAAGTGCTGCAAGAACTTTTTGACTCTAGCTCGCGATCTCTTGCATCGATGCGCTCAGGTTATTTTTTTCTGTGTTTAGCTTGTACCTTGCCCTGTCAGCCTGGCAGGCACGTGCCGCTGGACTGTTTTTTGTTTTTTTTTTGCCGTATGCTGGACAGTTACATCGCTACATTTCGCATACAATTTTGGGAACCAGTTGGCGACGGAGCGGAGTGGTATGGTTTCGGTTTCGATCGAACAGCCACTCCGCTCGCGCGATGAAGCACGTGCAACTGCAAGCCTGCCAAAGTTGCCCTCATGTGCATGCGAACATGATTGCACGACAGAGGCACGAGCCGGGACGTTTGCAATCTATGATTTCACGTTTGCTTACTTTTGACGAAAATCTGGCACGTCGGGAAATAGTGAAACGGTGGCAAGCAGATTTTCGGAATTGTTCGGGAACGCCTGCAGCACTGTACACTTGTGGGATGTCTCAGTGTCTCTGTTGAGACATTGAAAGTGGACATTCATTAGTGACCGAAAATAAAGCGAGGCTTGCAGCAGCCTTGTAGAAAGTTTCGCAAACAAAAAGAAAAGCACCCGCTTGTCGTAATGCACCTTGTCTTGTGTACAATATCGCATTGCACTGCGTGTTTCGTCACTCGGAGACTGCTTCTATTTATTATATTATATAACTAGTCAGCCTAAAGCTATGATATTTACTACTAAGCTGATCATTGTAAAACAAATTATAATATATGCAGTTTGGTTTTTATTTATTTATAGTGGGTACAATTTAACTGAATCATTGCAAAATATGTCATCTCATTGGCATTTCAGTTACATGTTGAAAGGCTCCCAGATGGTCTAGCTTGACCATGATTTGTTTATTGCAGCGAACAAAGTGCCCTTTGTTTGTCCAGCGCTTAAAACAATTATTTAATTTT